GTGTGTGTGTGTGTGTGTGTGTGTGTGTGTGTGTGTGTGTGTGTGTGAGAGAGAGAGAGAGAGAGAGAGAGAGAGAGAGAGAGAGAGAGAGAGATAAACATATTCTATAATGTATAGGGATGAAGAATTAGTGGGAGACTGAGTTCTAATCCCATCTTAGGCTCAAAGCCAGGTGTGTGACTTTGGGCCAGTCACTCTGTCTCAGCCCTAGGAAGGAGGCAATGACAAACTATTTCCCAAAACCTTTGGAAGTAAAAAAGCAGAAACTTGTCCATGCAATTACTAGGAACTAAAAAAAACTGACTTGAAGGCAATATAGGTAGATACAGATACACGGAGAGATAAAGTTAATAGACAAGACTACAGTGTAAGACAGGGTGTCAAACTCAAGGCTCAGGGGCTGGATCCAGCCTGCAGGGTTCTCAGGGTTCTGGCCCACGACGCCACCCTGGAAACAGTTAAGGACCAGCACACAGTGCCTCTGCCAATAAAATCAGAGCTTGCCAGGACCTTTGGAAGCTCTATTTTCACTGGCAGAGAGTTGCAGGAGGCCATTGCAGCCAAAAATGGAGCTCGGGACCCATTTTCACTGGCAGAGCGCTTGGGCCACCACAGACACCCCCAACATGAGTGATGTCAAGCTGGCCATGCTCCCCCCCGGCCCCCCTGAGGTCAAACACAACCCTGATGCAGCCCTCAATGAAATTGAGTTTGACATCCCTGGTGTAAGAGAACAAAAGTCTATTTCTAATGACAGAATTCTAATGATTAGAATTTCAGTTGAAAGATTGATTAAAGTTGTACTCTAGAATATCTAAATTTACATCTCTTTATTACCATCATTATCACCCTCTAGCGTTTGAGTCTCAGTTAATAGATCAAAAGAATATGAAGTTATTCTGGATATCACATATAAGTACAAAGAGTACAAAGTACTCTTTGTACATAAGTACAAAGAGTCACAGGTATTGGCAGTGTGTCTTCATTTAAAATTTTAAACACATCAAAGATCCAATAATAATTTTAAAACTAATTGAGCATGTGGATAAGAATCACTATATCTTTTTGTTCCTCTCTCTTTTTTTGAAAAGGTCTGTCTGCAGATGGTGGTGCCAAGCGACAAGAACACCTGTCCCGATTCTCCATGCCAGATCTAAGCAAAGATTCAGGAATGAACGTCTCAGAGAAGATGAGTAACATGGGGACCCTCAATTCCTCTGTACAGTTTAGAAGTGCCGAATCTGTCCGCAGCCTAATTTCTGTTCAGCAGTACCAAGATGTTGACGCCAACCTACACAATCTTGCCAATCCCATTGGATACAGGGATACCTCATCTCACGGAAGGATGCACCAGAGCTTTGATTATGAAGGTGGGATGGCCAGTAAAAAATTAGCTGGGCAAGACAATATCAGACATCCCCCGATGAGCGAACGCACACCCAGACGAACTAACATCCGAGAGGACGATCGGCGTTACCGCCCCCACCGGCCCCGACGGTCCAGGCGTTCCCGGTCAGATAATGCTCTTCATCTCACTAGTGAACAAAACTATAAGTTGAAAGAGAGGCCCTCTCTACGAGCCAGAGAGGACTACGACCAGTTTTTGCAGCAGAGAAGTTGCCGGGAGACCATGGAGCAGAACACCCGGAGAAACCTGTACGGTCAGTGTCCAAGGACTGTCTCAGACCTGGCTTTGCAAAATCACTTTGGTGAGAGATGGGGACCCTACTTTGCTGAATACGACTGGTGCTCCACCTGCTCCTCCTCCTCCGAATCTGACAATGAAGGCTACTTCCTGGGAGAACCGATTCCACAACCAAGCCGACTCCAGTACGTCACTAATGAAGATCTTCTTCACAAATACGGCTCGTACAGCATGCCTAAGTCTTCTACGCTGGGTGGCCGAGGACAGTTACACAGCCGAAAAAGGCAAAAGAGTAAAAACTGTACCATAGCATAGCCGCGTGATCCAAGCACAGTGTTAGAGAATGTAATTATTTCATCAACTTGCACTGCTGTAGGTTTTCAAGCGCTTTTTATTGTAACAAAACAATCCAGGCAAATCAGGGAGCTGTTAAGAGGAGGTCATAGACAAAAGGTCTATAAATAGTCATAATTGTTGGCATGGTGAATATATTTTGCACATTTAATTTTGGGGAGGAAGGGAGGGAGGGATAAAAATTTATTTTAGCATGTTATAGTTACCAATTTACCTCCTTCCCGTAAGTAGCTGCCATCCATTTAATACCCCGTTCACCCATATGTTTTTAGTTGATGTTGTTTTCTGTAATGAGCAGTTAGCTACTCGTTTAATCTCTCCTTTTTTTTCTTTCTTTCTCTTGGGTTTTTTTATTTTCAACATCTCTCTAAGGGGGCCATTTCCCCCACCAGATTGCAAAGAAGCAGATGTTAATTCCCACATTCGTTCGGTCAATGAGAGTTTGGAAAAAATACTTTCGTATTTGGTAATGTCAGAAGAATGTCTTCCTCATAGGAGTCACTGGGATATCCAGGGACGTCTATTGTGGTTTTGGGACAGAGCTAGGCGAAAGATTGTTTCAGAACCCTTGATCTTTTTTATTTTTATTTTTTTTGCCATCTCATTCCTTCAGACCAGCAGAATTTTATCTTTTTTCCCTGCTTACAAGTATGTCATCTTTTTTTTTTTAATTCCTGAATTCTCAGGCTTGCAAGCTACTTTCTCAGGCTGTGCCGGTTACTTTTCCTATCAGTCCATATCACAAACACAAAGTAGGAAATGAGGATAGTTGGGTTTCTTTTTTAAAAAAAATATAGAAACATACAGATACATTTACACACACCATTAAGTGTAAACGTGAAAGGACCCAGGTCTGAGAATAAAGTTTACATCTCTTTAGAGAAGGGAAAGTCACTAAAATTTCAACTTTTTGGGGGGGGTAGGGAGGGTTACAACCAAAAGAATTGTAAATGGTTCTGTAATGTCAGCATGAGCTTGTTTTGAGTATAGAATTGTTTACTGGTGCTCTGGTTTCCTGGCATATGTTAACTGCTGTTCATTACCAAGAGATATCTTTTTTCTGAAAGTCATAATACAATGAATACAACCTAATCATATTACACTTACCTTCTACCCTTGGGTGATGACCACTTCAAGCCTGTTACGAAGGCCGTTTGAAGAACCCATACTCAGGGTAGAACGGACTTCATACTTTGGAAGTAGAAGAACACAACAATAGCTTCAACATTGGGTAGTTTATATATATAGGGCTCACAATGTATTGTGTAGTATGGTGGACGTGAGGTTTTTCTCTCTCTCTCTCACTCTCTTTCTCTCTCTTTGTGCTTTAAATAATTGGGAGACTGACATCAAGATGTGTTCTTTATTGTTTCCAGACAAATGCAGTCAGAAAGAAGGAAATACGTTTCTGTTATTGTATATTTTTATTATAGGGTTGTAAAACGGGTTTCAGTAGATTCTGAGGTAAGTCAGATCTGGACAGCTGACAATACCTGTAACGTGGGTTCTCCAGAGAATGTAAAGACTCTGTTAATACAAACGTCTATTGAACAGATGGCAAAATACAAACTGAGTGCGAGTGGGATTTTCAGAAGCAGATGTGAGGGTCCCAGGAGCTTCTGCTGGACTTCAGAAGCAGAGGCTTTGGGCCCAATCCACCCACGCCACTGGCAGACAAGCCCTGATGCAGTATTACTTCAACCATGAGGGACAGTCAAGATTGTGATTTGAAACGCGATGACTGGGAAGGGAATCTCAGATGATGATGTATCCGTAACACAGCTAGCAATCTTTTGTTGTGTGAAAGGAGAATGTGATGATGATTTTTTCCCCAAAAAAATAAAAAAGAAGGAAAAAGAAAAAAGGTGTGGTGATGTGTAAAAGCAAAAAATCTAAGCTTCAACAAATACCTACAACAATGGTCCCAATGGAAACTGAGTCTTCCTTAGTTAAAATAGATTTTATTTACGGTGGTCTCATCCGGGTTTACATTATTATCTTTATTTTTCTTCAGTGTGTGATATTTTTATGGTCTCTTCACAGAGATGGAATTTCCATTGCATTTCATTATAAGGGGCACCCCACCCGTGGGAGGAATGGAAGGAGAGAAATAGATAGGCAGATAATGGATGGAAAGATAGGCAGAGGGACAATACAAATAAAAAAGGCAAGTTCTACTCCTCGTATGAATTATTTCGGAGTCATGCAAGTTCTCATTGGTTTAAGTTCAGATGAAATCAATAATCTGGAAAATATTATAGGATTAGTTATTTAGAGTAACATTTGGAACGTTAGAAATAATTTTATGGTTTCTCTTATTACACACTTTTATATTATTATATTATAAAATATGTAATATATAAAATATATTATACAATTTTTAAAAATTAGGATCTGTGAGTAAGCCACCATCACTATCACGCTAAGTCATGATTCACAAACCGTGTCTCGCTTTTACACATTGGAATTTAGCCAGCATCAAAAAAAACAACATTGCAGCATAGTTTGTCATGAGGATCCAGGAAATGGCTGAATCCAGATATTTATCTTTACAGTGGTGAGTCCTGCATCTAAATTCAAGGTTACATCTCTCTCTTCTCCTTTGCATTTAAAAAAATAGGAAGTTTCTATCTGGAATTTAGTACAGTTTGCCTTTTTCCCAAATATGGACAATAGACCAACTTAACAAACTATAAACAAACCAAGTATGGTCACCTAGTTTGTAAAGGAGAATATATAACTTGTTACACATCAAGAAAAGGAAACAAACTATAAGAACATTGGTGGGTTGCTGTGGAATGTACACTGTATATGTGGGATGACTTCTGAATAGAATAGAATTAGAATTAATAGAATAGAATAGAATAGAATAGAATAGAATAGAATAGAATAGAAT